AAAACATATTTGGATACGAAGACTAATATTCATTTTCTCAGGATGGAATATAATAAAATATTATAAAAATATGTTTTCCTAATTAGTAATACATATAGTATTTTGACCGTGGTATGGTTGGCGGTGACTGTGTGCCATATTTCTTATTTATGTGATAACTAGCCTAAACTAGGTTTTATTTCTTCATCTCTTTAGTATCAATAGTATCAGGTATCTAGAAGGTTAAATGAATTAATGATACTTTACAACTTTTGGCACTCATAGTCCAATGGTTTGGTATAGTTTTATTCTTACTTATTTTAAGTCCCATTACTGTGTCAAACATTATTTTTAATTGTCAGAAAATATGAAAAACAAAATCAACGAGGAAGGGCGGCGTTGAACGAACGCAACCCCCGCACGATCAAGCAACAAAGGACCACCGACAAGGAGCCCAGCAGGACCCTAAACAAACAAAAACAGGACAGTGCACAAGGCAAAGCACGGACGGGATAATTACTTTAATGATACATAATAAAAATAATAGAAACCGCACGAAAATTAAAGAAGACAAATTTAATGATTGACCAAAAGGCTTATTAAGCAAAGGCGCTCAGGGGAAGGGGACACGAGGGTCGGGGAAGTGAGGTAAAATTTGACCAGAGTGGATTTTCTGACATTTGTTTGTAAGATTTTCAGAATCGAGGCAAGCGTAAACTTTAACCCTTCCGGGACATGAAACGCGACTGTATAGGACATCATTTAATCGGAATTAGATTCATTGCGCACTTTGGTTCATATTAATTATAGAATTACGTCTGAAAATTCCTTCGATGTTCAGGACAATCAAATAGATACTGTCAAAGTATGAAAATAACATCTTATGCTGGAAAATGTTCCATTGTTTACCATCGTATTGCTTGCAAGCTCGCGAGTAAAATTTGACCGTATCGAAAGTACATGGAAGCTACAATGATAATGTATATGGAGGCGACTTTTGTATTGTATATATAGGGGAATGCAGGCGACCACTATTGCATTGTTATCTACGAATGATAGTATTTAAACCACCTGTAAACGTGATGCGTAAGTTTAAGGTTGTTGTTTCATAACTACTTTTTACATTTGGACCCTTAATGAACAGCATAAAATAGTAAACTACATGTATAAAAGGAAAATACTGGGTATGTGTGATGTCTACTAGGAGTTCGTAAATACCATGATATTAAAATTGATCTACGATCATATTTTCAGTTTTAAAATGGCTTCCTCGACGATCGACTGCGACCAGAATCAGCCTTGAAATGCCGTTAAAGAAAATCCACTTATACGGTCAAAAGTCTAAAATCATACATGTTGAATTCTTAAGATCAACTAGAGCACTTGAATCATTAACATACTCAAAAGACAAAAATGAAATAAGCTCAGAATTAAACTGAAATCTTTTTTTGTGCAATTCTGAGTCCGATTTCAGACTATATTTCAATATTCAGTGAAACTACACTATTTTGCAACACTAATTAAAGGGAGACACAGGCAAAATTTTCATTTATTTGTTTTGAATATTTCATTCATTATTCTGTAAATGTACTAAAATGAATACATTAGGTATAGTCACAGGAACAAAACATTTTGCCTTATAAGAATAAAATGGATTCAGTGAAGATCATACAATATCCACAATATCTGTGATTGTAACTTCCATGGTTTGTTCAGGTCAAATGACTTGTTTTTAAACTACTCGGTGATTCTGTCGGCGGCTATATTTTCGTTCCACAAAAATAGATATATTTACGCTTCAAACCCAAAATATAAAGAATTTACACAGAAAATCATGTTGTGACTTTAAAAAATGTTATTTAACGTGATTTGAGTACCTAAGATCATTTTAATATTGTTGTCATTAATTTGCCTGAGTATCCCTTTAACCGGTCCTTAACCGGAAAATTATGTGAAAGGGAAATGGGCATGACAAGTCTGACTCGAAGTCATTTGAAAATAAATGTAACAAAGTGTCTGTCAGGAAGGTTCTTTACTCGCTCCAATACTCTGAATATTAACAAGGAAATCAAAAACAGTAATATTCAGTCTTCGGTACAATTAAGCATTGGTATCAATAAACCAGAAAATATTTAAACACAGGACATCTAGCAGCTGCCACAACCCATTCTCCCACTTAAACCTATTTCGTTATAGGTAAATCCCGAAATGATTTTTTATCAGCTCTTTGCTTGTTCGGAAGATTTTTTTATATTAAATGTAACTTTTCATCAGTTAAAAGAATATCCTGAAGGCGGCCCAATTAGACAAATCTCGCACGCTCGGTCTGATTGAGCTTGTTCGTCAACGCCTTTTATACGTACTATAAACGTATAGAACAGAAGCAATCCGACCCAACCCAATTTACAAACTAAATTTATGAACATTATTTCGATTTGTTTACTTTTTGAAAGAACTTTACACAATTTATAAAATAAATACATGTATATGAAATTTATTTCATTTTGTTTATTCTTTGAAAGGTCTCTAGGAAATAAAGGAGGTTTAAAAGGAAGTACAAAATCTATATAAGAAGCAGTTTTGTCCGCCGTGACGCCATTTTCCGTCATTGCCTCATGAAACATCCCTTTATGGTAACATTGGAACCCGTAGGTTCTCACTTCTTTCATGTGCATTCCAGTTTATCGAACTTCCGGTATGAAGCCCAGAGCCCTTTGTTTAACACTCGTAGCATTGCTTGGTGGACCTCGATCTACATAACTTATGTTAGTCATGTCACTGGGGTAAAAATTGGCCCGATCCCGGGGGTTACATACAGATATAGAATTGTATAGGAAAATACACTTGTTTTCTTTTGTGAAACTATAATATAAAGGGCTTAGATAATTGTCAGGAATGGTTACATGCCAAATATAGAGGCAGAGTATTCATCACCAAAAAGATAAGATGACTCCCGGGGCAGGGCAATTTTTTACCAGAGGGTCATAATTACTATAAATTTTGAAGTAATCCGCAAATTGATGCCCGTGCTTTGTAGCTTCACACAATAAGACTTAAAGTGTATTCTTAATAAGTTTATGTATATCAAGTGACCAATATTCACCCCAGGGGCATGATTAATACCAGTTATTTTGCGTTTCACAGTGATGTTACATGCCAAATACCCAAGTTAGGCATATTAGTTTCACGCTGTAAGTCAGAGGTGTTGTGTGTGTGTTTAATTTTGTTTATACTGGGTGCCTGCTTTGCCATATGTACCAGACTATCGGCCTCTGTTACGTCGCTGGTCGTAGAGCCTGCAACGGAGGTCTTAGTTTGCCTGCAACGTCGCTGACCGTAGAGCCGCAACGGAGGTCTTCTCATGCCGCCTTTCGTCGTAGATCTTCTCTAGGGCCCAGTTCTTCGCATCTTGAACGCAGTAGACAATATAAAGGAATGGCACCTCTTCCGGGAGCAGCAGCTCTTTGTAGGGTCACACCCTTCGCCTTTGGTTAGGTCACACCTAAGTGACCTAACTAGGTCACCCATCTGGTGTGACCTATGCCTCTCGAGCGACGGGAAGTCGCAAGTGTCAGATGTGCTTTCCAATACAGGTCTATATAAATCAAGTGACCCCTAGGTCGGGACCAATATTGAACCTAGAGGCATGATTCATATCAGTTTCGCTGACGTTCACAAGGTAATGCTAGAGCTTTAGATATTGTAGTTTCACCCAATGAAAGGTAATGTGTTTCCTATGCAAGTCTATTTAAATCAAATAATCCCAGATGTGGGACAATTTTTAACCAAGTAAGCCCATAACTGTGCACTGCATATTGTTTCATTATCTTACAATATCTTTACTAGAACCACGTCTTACAATATTTTTACTAGTGCCAAGTCTTACGATATTTTTACTGGAGCTACTTCTTACAACATTTTCACTAAGGTCACATCTTACAAAATCAGGATTGATAACATTAATTTCAGAAGAGTATTTAGGTTTTTTATTATATTTACAAATACACAAATTCATATACAAAAACATACTGTGAAAACACAATGGGCATCCACTTAAAATGGATAAGTATACCCAAATTATGATCTACAATCAAAACTTTGAGATATTTAGGTTTCTATTTAGCATATAATATAATTACAGAAAGAAATATCTTTACTTTTATTTTACTATGACACAATGAGAAAATCAACCTTATAAAAGTTTAAACTATGAAAGTTCTACTTTAATGTGTAACTGATTATTACAAGTCATTGAATGTAATTAAATACATTTACAAAATAACATAGAACAGCATGTTCTTAAATAGCTAAAATTAATACAACTTGACCCCCCCCCCTCCCCCCCCCCCCCCCCCCCCCGTTAATTCATACATAATCTTATAAACATTGTATAACAGTATACATGTAATTGGAGTGAAACCATTAAGAAATTAAAATCAGGGTCACGTCAAGTATACTAAATCAAGTTTAACACAGTGATGGCAGTTCTGGAATTGAAATTCTGCTAAAAAAACAACAACTTTAAACAAGTAAAGATATGCCAAATATTGAATTAATGTTTATCTGTCTGACTCTTAAAGCACCGCTGTCATTGAATATCGCAATATCAGCGATATTCATCATCTGATACAATATCTATACACACTTTCAAATATCAATACAATCTAAAATTTATTTCTGTTTGGGAATATACCTCTCTATTTTGACTTATCAGAGAAGTCACTTTTTCTGAGTTTTCTAGGCTAACTTTAATTTAAAATTCTGTTTGTCAGTAACAAAAATAACAGAAAAAACAAACTTTCTGTCAGTTTGTAATATTTGTAATGTCTAATACAAGCAGGCATATCACCAGGATCACAATTTTTAACACATATTTAAATGTCTTTTATTGTATATACTATCAAAGTCAATATAACGAAATATTGACAATATTTGTCCCTCTATATATCAATACAAAATATTCCATCAATGACATCCCTACTCTAAAGTGAACTTTTTTAAACCTAATGACCCATGCAAAATTTTTAAATAAAATATTGAAATTATCAAGCTATCATAGGTTTAATACAATCAACTTGAGGCACATGCATTTAAATAATCAAACAAATTAAACAAAATTAATGGTGAGCTGACAATTTTCCAAAAAAAATTTGAAAATGATGAACAACACAAATAATCACCCAATAATTTAGCATATCACTAGTAATACAATAAATATGAGGCCGTCAACATTTTACATGTCAAGTCTCTTTTTTCAGTATTAATGCTAATGAATTTTCCTGCTACGCTAGGAGTTATTATTTCAATTCTTCACAATATAAAGTTATTATTTCAGTTCTTCATGATATGGAGCTATCAATTCAGTAATTTACAATATAAATATATTTTGTCAGTTCTTCACAATATTATGTTATTGTTTTAGTTCTTCACAATATGGAGTTATTGTTTCAGTTCTTCACAATATAAATTTATTATTTCAGTTCTTCACAATTATAAAGTTACTGTTTCAGCACTTTATAATATCAAGGGACACTTGTTTCATTATTTTTACAATTTACAACATCACTAATCTTCACTAGTATCTGAAATCTCAACAACATCTCCCTCCCCACCGTTTATAGCTCCTCCTTCTTCCTGCCCACCTTCCTCCCCATTATCTTCCCCTGACTCCTCCTCTAAAACAACCACACCCTCATCTTCAGCATCACCACTGCCTGACACATTCACAGATTCCTTCTCTTTTTTCTTCTGGTCTTTTTTGCCTTGCTGATTTTTCTTAAAAGCTAAAAAGAACAACATATAATGATGATCTGTAATTCAGAGGAACAAAAAATTATCTTTACAGTAAATCAGTTTATCAATTGATAAAGACTTCATAAAAGAATTGACATTCATGCAAGAGTTCTGTGGAAAATTTGAAGCATAAACAATCAGCAATTTGCGTTTATTTACTCATTTGTGTAATTTATTGTGTTGGACAATATATCACAGTTACAGAAGCTTATTTTGGTCAGAGTAAGCCACAGGGAAGTTGGCACACCGTAGCGAGTGCTTCCACAAATTTAACAGTAATATCCCTAATGTCAGAGGTATGGGATAGGTTATTTAAGTCAGCTACATTAGGTAAATGAGCCATTGCTTCAGTCCTCACCTAAGTAATATTAAAATATAGATTAATGCTTAAAACATGAGCTGTCAGTAAAACAGCAGCCTTAACTATGAGTAACTCAGGAATTTTGTAAATTCACTATGAACAATAATTCAGTCACAAAATCCATGTGTTATTGGAGAGTGATCTTCAATTACTGGGGCAAACATCCTAACCAAGTTTTGTGACAACTATGACAAAAAATGCAGCCATTAACAATCTAGGTGATGATGGGAGACTGAGGACAAACATTTATCTCAATAGCTCATCCTGAGCCTTGGACTAAATATCTATTCTCTCGAACCTTCAAGACACTCCTTCAGTGGGTCAACAAACTGATCAAACTCCATGTCTTCAAGTGCATCTAGAACATCTTTAGCTGTGATTGTTTTTCTCTTGCACTTTAATGCAAAATTATTGGAACTGAAAAGATAAATTGACAACATGGAGAAATGCAGCACATCATGTGATTTATATCTTTACATTACCTGGAATTGTTTATATCTATTTATAGATGGCTTGGTCATACTGTATGCACTAGTTTACAATTAGGTAAAACAAGTCAAACATCAGTTTTAGCAAAACCTTGTTTCACAGACATGAACAAAAAAGTGAAGCCTTAGATTAGAAGAGGGCCAGCTATCAATTATTCAATTTTAACTTTTATACTTGAAATAACGCAGGATTGTTGGTTCTGCAAATCAGTCAGCAAAGTTCATTTTCATTTCACATACAGTTAAACTTCATTCGCTCGAACTCGGATCGCTCGAACACCTCCCTTCGCTCGAACTCATCGTCCGGTCCCGGCGAATTCCCTATATAACATATATTGTTCTACCTCGGATCGCTCGAACACTGATCGCTCGAACTCTCGAACAGGTTGTTCGGTCCCTCCAATAGAAATATAGTGAAAATCACACGTTTTCGGTCGAACACAAAGAAATTTCAAAAGCTGTGAACGATCCGCTAATTAGTGACAGTCGGCGTCTCGTGTTTTTAACACCTTGTGATAAAGGCAATTAAGGTTGAATTATACAAAAAGACAGGTGATATTCGCTCATCGATTTGTTTGTTTTGTTTACCGACCGTTTTTATTTAAGATGCAAACAAAACGCATATTAATGGTAATTAATGATATTAAAGAAATGAGTGAGATGTGCTGAAACATGTGATAGAGACATTATTGAGGACTTAGTTTCGGCACGGAACTCAACCGAAAGTGATCCAACAGAAACGGAAGAAGATGATGAACTGGGGAAGCTATGAAAGCTTGTGAAATATTAAGAACTTTTAAATGACTTTTCCCGATAATTGTGTATTGACATGTGCTATAAAATCTTGCTCTATTAATAGATTGATACTTGTGTGTGCTATTTTTAGATTGTGATCCATGATAAATGAACAGACTTGCCTGTGCTATTTTTAGATTGTGATTCACGATAAATGTAAACTCTGTATTATATTGTGTATAACAAAATAAAATAAAGAAGACTGTATTATTTTTATTGAATTCATCGATCATTGTTACAATGTAACAACAATACAGATGGATAAAAACAAAGGTAACATTCAAACAGGTATATGCCTCTATGTACGATCTTATTTTTCAACCTCGGTTGGCTCGAACTACCGATCTCTCGAACAAATTTTCACGGGCCCTCCGAGTTCGAGCGAACAAAGTTCGACTGTACTTTAATAATCTTCTAAAGATCAAATGAAATTTGAATAAGTCTTCAATATGATAAATTTCACTATAAGTTATCAATGACCTATATTATATACATGTATTTTTGGTCAAGTTTAAGTAGTGCAATCTTTGTTTATTTCATTAGATGACTTCCAGCTGTACTGTTGTAGGGAACCAAGGTGAACGTCAATTATTTACTTCCAGTACAGGTTGTCACAGGGAGTAGATTCATCAATCAACAGGTGTGTTAGATAGCGTTGTACTTTCACTGTAAAGGTCATATAGGATTTCCAGCTTTAGTGCTGGAGAAAGACCTCCGTGAGGTGCCCCTCTGTGCATTATTACAGGCACAACCGAGCATCAGAGTAGAACCACCTCAGTAAGTTAACTAGATAGCTTCCTCATTCAGAAGAACCAAAGCTTCTTGATGGATTCGAACCCACAGCGGTGAGAGGCAAATGGTTTAAAGTTATCGACTTAAACCACTCTACCACAGATGCCCCAAAATACAAAGATAAAGAAAAGGCTAGAAACTCACCATGAGGTAGCATACAATACAAAAACACTGGCTGCCTTTGAGATTGCAAGTCGAGCTTCTTTTTGACACATTAACTCCATTGGAATCTGTGAAAAAGAAATTGATTACACATACATATTACATACAGTCATACACAAAACATTGTGTTCTTTCATAACATCTATAGACATTACAAGAAATTACCATTATGGGACATTTATAAAAAATGTTCAAGGGATAACTTTATCAACATAAGTTATTTAATTCTAAATGAAGACAGAATATCATATGCAGGCCCATAAAATATTGCGTGGTGACAACAGTATCAATTCTTTCTTATTGCTAAATTATCCTGAAACCAGGTTTTATAGTGAACCAACTCAGGGTCCTTTTTTATCATCAGATTGTATTTACTATTACAAAAGTAAATGTGAAACGACGTTTAAACAACAACAACAACACATACAGTTTTTCAAAATATTATTATTTTGTTATCGATGCGTTTCGGTGAACAACACATTATAATGATAAATATCATAACATTCTTTTTTAAAGTAAATGTGTACATTTTCTTTCTTTTACACTTAATAATCTTTCTAAACATCAGAATAATAAGACATAAAATATGGAAATTTTAATTTTCAGATAATGTAAACAGTATATCATAAGTGCTTAAGAATTTATTGAGCCCGGTCTCTATCAAAAACTATTGACAGCTATCTTTATTTTTAGCAAATGCCAAAATGTGAAATACTTATTAATAAGTAACACTGATAAGTAAAACACTTTAATATGCACTTAATCAAGCAAAATCATAGACCTATTACTCTACCTATTACAGTTATAAATGAGCCGCTTCACGACAAAACCAACATAGTGTGTTTGCGACCAGCATGGATCCAGACCAGCCTGTGCATCTGCGCATTCTGATCAGGATCCATGCTGTTCGCTATCAGTTTCTCTACTTCTCTACTTGTAATAGGGTTGGTAAGCGAACAGCATGGATCCTGATCTGGCTGTACAGGCTGGTCTGGATCCATGCTGGTCGCAAATGCATATTGTTGGTTTTGTTGTGACACGGCTCAAATAAAGGAACATACAGCATCTTTTATAATCCTTGTTATCACAGCATTTGGAAGATTGAGATCCTCTGGTCTCTCAGCCATCTTTTATTTATTGAAAATCTGGAAAAGAAGTTTATTGTTTATATTGTTTGAATTATAGTAGAACTTTGGTAAATCGAAGATGAAGGGACTTGCGTAAAAACTTCAACACATCGGGACTTTGACTCATGAATCGCTCTCAATTCCATGACAAAATTTTGACCCATGACTAGTCCTAATTATAAGATCTATCAGGGATTTTTCCAGGATTTTGGGAACATGACCCATACCCATAGAATTGGGAATTTCAGCGGTGTTTTGTTAAAAATTGGGAAAATGCATGACTGAAATTTTTCAGTGATTAAATGGATGCAAAGAATTACTGTCTAGGATGGCATCTTCAAACATTTAAGCACTAATTACAATGAAGAAGCCCTTATTTTCATAGATTTTAGAATTTTTATTCAATACTTTTATTTTGTAACTTTCAACTGGGAATTTTTTCTGTGGATTGGGAAAATAATATACTATTTTCAAT